AGCAATTTTTCTGCCGCTGCTCTATCTGCGGGTTTTTCTCCTCGAACCAACCAGTTCTTCATATCCGTCCTCCAATCCGTATGTTCCTCTACGGCCATGACTTGTTCCAGTGAATTTTGGTCCATCTACAGTAGGGTGATCGATCTAGAAGTGCAATCCACCAATGAGTTAGCCATCTTTGCCAACATGTCAGCTCGAGTGTTCTCCTTCCGGGGCACCTGTACGACCTTCCAGCTGGTCAGCCCTCTCAATAGTTCATGGATCTTCCGAACATAAGCCTTCATTCGCTCTTCCTTCAGCTCGAACTCTCCCTTTACTTGGCCTACCACCAACTGTGAGTCTGAGTGTACAAGGATGCTTTGAGCGCCTGCAACCGCAGCTAGTTGGATTCCCTGCACCATGGCTTCGTACTCAGCTTCGTTGTTCAAGGCGTGGAAGTTTAACTTTATAGCATACTCCAAGTGGTCTCCCTCATGCGTCACGATCGAGACGCCCACTCATGCGCTCCCTAAGGTCGAGCTACCATCAACGTGGATCGACCATTGCACAGGGTCGTCTTCAGTCGTCAACTCTCGAATGAAGTCTGCCACGGCTTGAGCTTTGATGGCTCTCCTTGGCTCGAACTTGACATCGTATTCACCCAGCTCGACTGCCCATTTGGTGAGTCGCCCTGAAGCTGTGGGTCGACCCAAAGTATTTCCCAGCGGTAAGCTAGTACGAACTATCACCCGGTGCGCAAGGAAGTATGGTCTGAGCTTGCGGACCGTGACCATTAGCGCCAACGCCACTTTTTCGATGTCAGTATATCGTAGTTCGGCCCCTTACAACAGCCTGCTCGTATAGTAGATGGGTTTCTGCTGACGTCCCTCCTCCTTTAACAAGACCGAACTTACGGCTACTTTCCCGACAGATAAATACAATATCAACTCGTCGCCCGGTTCCGGTTTGGACAGCGTTGGTAACTCCGCTAGAAATTCTTTCAAACGTTCAAACGCCTCTTGAGCCCTGTCTGTCCATTCGAACTTAGCCCCTTTCTTTAATGCTTGAAAAAATGGGAATCCTTGTTCAGCTGCCTGCGCGACGAATCTGCTGAGGCCTGCCAACCTACCAGCTAACGTCTGGGCTTCGCGTAGGTTCCTTGGGGGCTTCATGTCCATCACCGCCTACACCTTCGCTTTGTTCACTTGGATTCCTTGCTCGGTGACGACGTATCCTAGGAATCGGCCAGTTCTTACCCCGAACTTGCATTTCGCCGGATTCAACTTCATGCCGTACTTCCGTAGGGTAGTGAGCGTTTCTCTTAGATCATTCACGTGATCCGCTGCTACTCTACTTTTGACCAACATGTCATCTACGTATACCTCCATGTTTCTACCGATCTGTCCCTCAAACATCCGATCGACCAAGCGTTGGTATGTGGCGCCTGCGTTCTTCAATCCGAATGGCATGACCACATAACAATACGTTCCTTTCGAAGTAACGAAGCTGACCCTCTTCTGATCCTCTTTCGCAAGCGCAATCTGGTGGTAGCCTTGTGACGTGTCCATCATGCTGAGGAGCTCACATCCTGCCGTTGAGTCCACCAGTTGATCGATCCGTGGTAACGGATAGTGATCCTTAGGGCAGTCTTTATTCAGGTCTCGAAAGTCTATACACATCCTCCATTTGTTCAACTCCTTCTTCACCATGACTGCATTCGACAGCCATTCCGGGAACTGAATTGGTTTGACATGCCCCGCTTGTAGCAGCTTGTTTACTTCTTGCTCAATAATTAGGTCCAACTCGTGTCCAAAGTGTCGACGTTTCTGCTTCACGGGTCTTACCCTCTGGTCGATGTTCAAATGGTGTACTGCCAGATGTGGGCTGACACCCGTGAGTTCTTCTGGGGTAAAGGCAAAGACGTCTACGAACTCCCTCAGCATTTGTACCATCTTCTCTTGTATTTCTCGTGGAAGGTCCTTCCCGATGCGGGTAGTCTTTCCCTCTACGCCCTCGACCAGCTCGATCTCCATCAGCTCGTCTTGTGTAGTCATCTCCACTTTCGGTCATTTCTCGGGTCGATCCTCCTTCCCATCGAGTCGATCTTTGCTCTCCTCCCTTCTTCCGTTAGATTGTCCTTCTTTGAGCGTGACCTGATAGCACCTTCTTGCGATTTTCTTATTGCCAACGACTTCTCTCACCTTATCGCCGACTGGGAATTTCATCTTCATGCAGTACGTTGAGATGGCCGCTTGAAAGGTGTTGAGGCTTGGCCGCCCCAATATAACGTTATACGCTGAACTTGTCTCCACCACCAAAAAACGGATCATTTTCACTTGTCTAAGGGGTGGTTCCCCTAGTGCCACAGGTAGCGTCACTTCGCCTCGAAGGATAACTTCGACGCCACTAAAACCATACAAAGCCGTTCGCACCGGTTGTAGCGACAATCCCAGTTCCATTTTATCTAAGCAATGCGTAAAGATTATGTCTACCGCGCTCCCCGTATCCACAAAGACCCGCTCTACATCATAGTTGGCTATCTCGGCCGTGACTACTAATGCATCATTATGCGGCTTAGCAACATCTCTAAGGTCTGAGGGTCCGAAGTGGATGAGCGGTATTTCCTCTGCAATTTGCACTTCTCCGCCTTGTCTATCTTCGCCGAGAGATCTTGCGTGACGCTTCCTTGCTTGGTTGGAGTCTCCGTCCGTAGGTCCACCCGATATCATGTGGATCACCCATTTCTTCCTGGGTACCGGGCCGGTCTCCTCATCGCGTCCCCGTTTCTCCACCTCTTTCTTATCTCTCCCTTGGTCTTTATCCTTTAAGATGAACTCCTTAAGGTGTCCTGCGCGTATCAGCCTCTCTATCTCATCTCTCAACTCTTTGCAGGTGTCCGTGCTATGTCCATGGTCCCTATGGTACCGACAGAAAGCGTTCGGCAGCCTGCTCAACGGCATCCCATTCTTTTTCGGGAGGGGTCGAGGTCGATCTAGCCACGATAGGTTACCCTTCCTCTCCAACACCTTGAAGACTTGCTCCCTCGTTGCGGCCAATGGTGTATACCGATCGAACCTTTGTCCTGGCTTCCAATTTCTTTCCTCTACCTGCTTACCCTCGCGTCCTCCTCGACGATCATCACCTCGGGGAGGCTTTCGCTCATCTCTCTTGTCTTTCTCCTTCTTAGGTTCGCGCTGTATAAAGTCAGCTTGTGATTCTTCCATGTTGATGTACTTGTTACAACGTCCTAGCAACTCATCATAAGATTCAGCCGGTCGCTTAGCAAGCGAGTCTCTAAATGGACCCGGTCGTAACCCTCTCGTCAGTCCTCCGGCTTTGATCTCCTCTGTAGCTCTCGGCACCTCGACGCACTCCCGCGTGTACCTATCTACGTAGGCTCTTAACGGTTCATTTTCCCTTTGCTGCATGTTGATTAACGATAAGTATGTTTTCTCATGTTTTCGAGCGCTTGAGAACTGGTTGACAAACATCGAGCTGAATCCTTTGAAGTCTTTTATGGTTCCAGGTGCCAGTTGATGGAACCAATCTTCGGCCGGTCCTTTTAGCGTGGTTAACAAAGCTTGGCAGCATACTGGATCGCTGTACTTGTGCAACACCGCTATGTTTTCGAAGCTTCTTAAGTGCCTTGTGGGATCAGTCGACCCATCATAGTATATCTGTAGCTTGCGGAACCCGGTCGGCAGTTCAGCATCGATCACGTCAGCCGTGAAGGGATGTCCATGGATCGTAGGCCCCGAGCTCCTGTTTCCGACTTTCTCCTGCAGCTCGCGAAGTTGCGCCGCCATCTGTTCTATCAATGGATCTCGGCTCGCCGGAGAGATAGGGTCTCGCCTCGTTTGCGATGTGGGTGCAGGTGAGTGAACGGATCTTTCAGCTTCGACCTCCCTTGATACTTCGCGCTGCCCCATGGCTTGAGCATGTTGTTCCGCAGGTCGAAACGGCTGCTCCACAGGTCGAGTCCTCCCACCTGCTGGCGAAGGAGTGCGCGCCGCTACCGCCTCCGCAATCATCCTTTCCAGTTCTGATCTAGTGATGTGCAACGTCGGTTCGGGGGCGCTAGGTTGATTTTGAGGATTCACCGTCGGTCCTTCTCGTCCGCCTGTTATCACCGGGATGTTGGGTGTTTCCATCTCCGTCGTCGCTTGACGTCTAGCCTCTGGAGCGGGTGTCCTAGGTGGTTCCTCGCCTGGAAGCCATTCCCGCGGCGGCCCAGTTCCCATTGGCCGGGTGTGCAACCATGAAATATCCTCCCCTTTCTCTCTGCAAGGTGTGTCTTTATCTCCCATTTTTACTTACCAAATGAATTTCTTTGTTGTGAGAGTACCACCAAGCCACCGGTTGAGCTGGGGTCCCACAGACGGCGCCAATTTGATAAGGTTCCGGGTAAGCAGCTCCGGTTCAGGACGGTTCTTGGCTCAAGGGTGCGTCTTCCTCTCCCCGGTTTCTAGTCTGGGATGGAGCTCGTGAATACCTGCAAAGTACGCCGGAGGTTTTCCGGCGTAAAACCCTCCAAAGCTTAAGTTAGTATTTGGGAGATGAGTAGGGAATAAGATGAACAGTAATGGTGTTTTGGTTGTTGAATAATAAATGTCACTTAACTTCACAATTAATGTTTCAATACGTATATATAGGTGTAATCCCATGCGTGGATATCTTGAAATATTATTTACATACAAGTCCGGGGATCGAGCCTCAGAGCTCGATCATGCAAGGCTAGGGATCGAGCCTTATAGCTCGATCACATATTAGTCGGGGGTCGAGCCTATGAGATCGACCATGCTATAGGATCGATCCAGGCTTGTCTGTACGGGTCTCTTGTTCTATCTAAACCGGTTTGGTTGCGACGGTTTATGGTTCCCTATCACTCTGTTTCATTTGGACCCTGGTAGCTTGTAACCTCTACGAGGCTTTTTATCTCAATGCATTCTTGGTTTTGGGAAAAAAAAAAAAAATCTTTTACTACATGATTTTCATTTTAATTCTCCATATTAAAATGACTACTATTGTCTCGCTCTCGCCTCTCCTTAAACCCTGCCACGCTCACTCTCCCGGACAGACAGTCCAAACCCTTCTTCTCTTGCTCCCCAAGAAAATGAAAATCTAAAACCCTCTTCAACCCCTTCTTAACAATTCGCCGACCTCTCAACAAAAATCTCCCCCTCATAAAAAATCTCTATCTTCAGTAAAAGTTCCTTTCCATAATCGTCGAATGTCAAAGCTATCGAAACTAACTCCATCAAACCCGAAGGTTTGGGTGGTGATCGGCGTCGGGCTCGCCGGAGTTTTGATCCTCGCCGAGGTACAGCGGCGTCGGATCAGAGCCAGGAGCTCCGTGAAAGAAGATTTCGGAGCTTTCATTGACCGTTTTGAGCTCGCACCATTTCCTCAGCCGCCGCCACCGGCGGCTCGCCTCCCACTGGCCGGCCTCACCTTCGCCATCAACGATAAGTATGTGATCACTCGTTTATTCTCGAGCTCCTGGTTCCCTTTGTTCTTCTTTTACTTTGAAAAGTGTTCTTTTTGCTCTTAATTTTTGGTGTGTGTGTTGGGGGAAGAAGGGGGTGGGGGGTGGGGGGTGTGTTCTGGTCTGAAACTCTGAATCTCTAAAAACACTGGAGGATTTTATTAAGCTGATTTTTGTGCTTAAGCATTCACTTTGGTCCTTAGAAATGTTTATTAGGTTTGACGGAATCCAGGTGCCTGGAGAAACTTTGTAACTTGATATGGATTTCCTGCATATCCAGTCTGTGACTCATTAATTAATTCTGGTTTCTGTAGCATTGATGTTAAAGGCTATGTGACTGGTCATGGAAGTACAGATTGGAAGAGGACACATGAGGGGGCTGAAAAAACGGCTGTGGTTGTCACAATGATGCTAAAATCTGGAGCAACTTGCCTGGGCAAGACTGTAATGGATGAGCTTGGTTATGGGTATTCTTTTCATCTGAGCTTAGCTTGATTCAGCATTCTCCATCTAATATTATGAGATAAATAGATTCAGGAATTATTTCTAATTTTGATAGGATCATATGTAAGTGTGCTTTGTAAGATGGTACAACACCCAGTAAAAAAATGTCTGGATTCTGAGTCTATACTTGTCTCTGGCTGAAATACATTGTTAATGGATATTGTTCTTCTCCTGTGGGGGCAGTTTAGATGCAGTCAGGCAGACCTTGATCATCATTACTAATTAAATGTTACAGGATATTAGGGGAAAATAAAAGTTATGGAACTCCGACAAATCCACAAATGCCATCCCATGTTCCTGGTGGCTCGTCGAGTGGATCTGCTGTGTCTGTTGCGTCCAAACTCGTAGACTTTGCTCTTGGTACAGTCCTTTTCTTTGAAATTTAAAGCTCATGTTCAATAAGTGTTGTTGGTGCTGCTACATTCGTGAATATGTGGTCATTTTTTTTTTTTTTTTTACGATTTTTTCTTGAGATTTTTATATTTTTTTGTATGCATTGCTTGTTTCAAAGGAAACATGTTCTGCATGTAGTTTCCTGCAACACAAATGCATGGAAATTGATGGACAAAAAAAGTTCCTTATAGGAGTCGGGCTTTCTCTAGTCTAAGAAATACCCTCCTGCCAAAGTTTTATAAATTTTTATTTTAATCGATGATATATTCTTTGATATGCCACTTATTTGTTCCATCAAATGTGGCTTCATTTTCTATAAGATTGCCGTGATTAAAATAGACGTGGCTCCGTAAAATATCCATAATGCCACTGTAAGTTGCATTCTCTTGTAAATTGCATGAATGATGTGAATTGGTATTATTGCAGGTACGGATACTATTGGTTGTATAAGAGTGCCAGCTTCATATTGTGGAATCCTTGGATTTAGACCATCTCATGGCATTGTGTCTGCAATTGGCGTTTCTCCAAACTCTCAAAGTTTAGATGCTATCGGTATGAAATAACACCCTAATATTTCAGTATTTTGAAATCTGTCTCTCTATCTCTGTCTCCCTAACATCATCTTTGTCTCAACTGCAAAAACTTGTTCACTGGGTTTATCAATATGCTTGGTACATCAGAGATATCCAAGCAACGTTGGTCTTCTTTCATGCAGAGGCCAGTGATTATCAAGGTTGCGCAGATGTAGAGTTTGAGCTGGTCCTCAAATTGATTTTAAAAAGTTGTTAACTTTGGAAGAAAGATCATTTGATGCATGTTATACTCTTTGTCTATTGATATCTGCTTTATTTTAATTAAAGTCTAGTGAAGTTTCTAAATTATCACTTTTAGCATTACAAATTTGTAACATTTAGTAATAATGTTACTATTGCTTCAGGATGCTTGGCATCTAATCCCTCTGTTTTACATCGTGTGGGACACGCTCTACTTCAGTTAAATCTGCTAGAACCTAAAAGGACGAGAAGAATTCTTATAGCTGATGATCTTTTCCAGCTTTGTAAGGTTCCGATGCAGAGGACCGTCCATATTGTAAATAAAGCAATAGAGAATTTGGCCGGCTGTAAGTTCCAGATTTTCTTATTGATCTACCATGAATGTTTTCTTTCACCTCTTCTTAACAATTGGTTAGTAAAATCTCGAGTAACTAATATCAATATTTTTGTCAAAGTAATCAGAAAATTTTCCATTAATTAATGAAAAGTTGAGTAGCTACACTTTCTTTTGTGCATATATGCAGACCAGAAACCTAAGCATGTGAATCTTGGGCAGCACATTGCTTCGAATGTGCCGAGTCTAGATGGTTTTGATGAAGAATCGACAAATTGGGAAAATGGAATGTCTACTTTGAAAGCACTGTCTTCTGTAATGCTTTTACTACAGAGGTATAGGGTAAATGCATTATTGTTCGCTGTATTTTTCTGACAAATTGACTAAATGAATATGCAATGTTCGCAGAACACCTGATTACGTGGTATCCTGATCCATCGTGTTTACTTTAATGGCTTTAATTATTATTTTATGACTTCAATTCAGCGTCCAGTTAACGTCTTCTTCTCTATGAGGAAAGAGAAAGGAAATGAATTTATGACTCTGTTTGCAGGACACCTGATTTCGTTATATCCTGATCCGTCGTGCTTAAGTTAAATGGCTCTAATTATTATCTACGACTTCAATGCAGCTTCCAGAATATTTAATTTTCCCTATAAGGAAGGAGAAAGGAATGAATTTACTATGTCATGAAAGGATAATTTTGCTTTTAGTGTTTAATTATTGCAGCGGTAACATCCATATCTCTGTTTTTCTTTTTGCTTTCCAGATATGAGTTCAAAACAAACCATGAAGAGTGGGTTAAATCAGTCAAACCTAAATTAGACCCTGTCGTCTCAAGTCGTGTTTGGTCAGCAATAAACACGACCCAAGAGAACATAAAGAGTCTATATAAAGTTAGAATGGATATGCGAGCTGCTTTAAAAAGTTTCCTGAAGGTAGTCATCCTTATTTGATTCCCAGAAATCCCTTTCCATATATTTAAGATTACTATTGAAACTTTTTAAGTTATGTTGATGTTTTTACTCTTATATATCCATACTCCATCTTTTTAATATTTGTAAAACACCAAGATTTAGTTGTTAGTATGATCGGTATCATTTTATGCATGCACTTCTATGTTTGATTTTGGGCAAGCAGATAGAATTGAAGATGTTAAAACATTTTCTGTAGTCTAAAGAAACATACATTTTTTCTTTTCAGATAGGCTTTCTTCAGACCTAGACCAAATTATTTTGATTGTTTTATATTTTTGTCTATCAGATTCCTTTTAACTGTTTCTTGTGTGTTTTCCTTTGTTATTTTCAAATTTTTAGATTTTGTAGATACTTCAAAATTTTTCCACTTTTTAGGGTTTCTCTGTTCAGTTCTTTTGTTATTTCAGTTTTTCTGGGTGAGTTGTTTCTCTCTCTTCTCTATGTAAGTTGTATATGTGAAGTTGGTAGAAGACCTTGACACCTTTCGCTGTTTTCATTGTTAACGGAGCCGATATCTGTTCATTTTAGCTTCTCTGTTTCATTTCAGCTTCTTCGTTTCATTTTATTGGTTTTAATTTTGTGCTTTCATCTTTCAAGGATGACGGGATATTGGTGATTCCAACTGTAGCTGATCCTCCACCTAAGCTGAACTCAACAAAAAGCTTATCTCCAGAGTTCCATGACAGGATTTACGCTTTATTGAGCATTGCAACTATGTCTGGAGGCTGCCAGGTAGTCCATGACCCATGGTTTCAGCTGGTTTATTACACCTTGCCATACATCAAATCTTTGTGATGAGAAGTTTAAAACTACTATATATCTATTTGACTCTTCACTATAATAGTTAAATGTCTTCTTCTCCAGGTCTCCATTCCATTTGGAAAATACGAAGGCTCTCCAGTTTCTGTATCATTCATTGCATCTCATGGAGCTGATAAGTTCCTACTTGATACTGTGCTTGATACATATGCTTCTCTTCAAGAAGCAGTAACCGTTATTTCTAGTTCCCCTCAGTTACCATATATCAATGGAAATATGGATGCAGCTGAACTTCTGAAAGAAAAGGTTCACTTTTTTATATTAAGTTTCTGCTTGATTTATCATTTGTTATTCGACCTGTCATTGTTTTAGTTATATTGACTAGATGCAATACTGGAGTTCATCTATTTCATTATGAAGTTCATACTGCTTTTCTGAAATCGTCTTTTTTACATTGTTACCCTTCTTTTTTTACCCATTTGCGAATTGGAAAAAAGGAAGTGGAGATTAAGTTGAAAATCAATTATATGATTAATGTCTACCGCGAGGGTTTAGTGGGAAACAGATCGATTAACCAAAGTTAAATTTTGAAAAAAATGGTATGGTTAGTTGTTAGTGGGATTTTGATTTTATATTAAAACAGTATTTAAAATAAAATAATTAAAGTTGATTTGATGTAAAAGTAGGAGAGACATATGTTTGTGCTGTGCAAAATGACAAATATATAATTATGGAAATTCAGTGGAACTTAAGTTTGCTATGTACCAAACAAAGGTGGTTATCGAGACACAATGTCTTCAGTCTATTATGTTTTTGAATTTTAATTGTTCCATTTAATATGTAATTTAGGTATATGACAACTGGCCCGTCTTTTTCTGAGAATTCTTTCTCGTTTTTTTTTTCTCTGTAATTTTGTAGGTTTGTTCTAAAACTCTTTCTTGTTATACATGATGCAACTTATTATTTTTTTGAAAAGCTATAATGTTGTACAGGGAAATGCCGCTTATAAAGGTAAACGGTGGAATAAGGCTGTAACTTACTACACAGAGGCGATAAAATTGAATGGGAATAATCCAACCTACTATTGCAATCGTGCAGCTGCTTACTTGGAGTTGGCTTGGTAAGATATATTGTGTATTCTTTTGTAGTCGTCGGAAATCAATGTAGCTAGGTAGCTACTCTTCTAACAATTAGCATTTTGTACAGCTTCCAAGAAGCTGAAGGGGATTGCACTATAGCAATGTCTTTGGATAAGAAGGTAAGAACTTGTTACTTTTATTTCTTGCTAATAGTTTGTCTTTAGATTTTGGTTTTCTTATTCTTCAGTATGCTAGTTCATTATTGAGTCCAGTTATATCCACAAGTTTGATCCGTTGAAGCCTATATTTTCCAATTGATACACGTTTTATGTTATTTTTTTGTTTATTTTTCCTGTGTAGAATGTCAAGGCCTATCTGAGACGAGGCACTGCAAGAGAATCACTGATGCTCTACAGAGAGGCTCTTCAAGGTTGAGAAGCCACTTAATTGTCCATTTTTATTGCATGAAATCCCTGTATAATTAATTTTGAACTTCTTCTTGGTACTCCCTATTGTTCTTGGCGCCCATAAAGTATGCTGCATGATTAACTTTTGCAGTCAGATCATCACAATTAAACTATATCATGGTCTGTGCTGCACGATTAGTCGTATGACATCCTTTGATTGGCAGAGCTAATGATGATGGGCTTCACCTTTGCGTGGTTTAGCTGTACTAATGTGGCTATTTTTTTTTTTTTTCTGATACGTTTTTGGTTGAGTGGCAGATTTCAGGCATGCACTTGTTTTGGAACCACAGAACAAGGTGGCGAGTCTAGCTGAGAAAAGACTAAGAAAATTAATCGGTTGAGGCTCTTGCAGTTTTTCTGTTTTGTGGTGTGATATTATATTAAGAAATATGAGATGGAATGCAGAACTATTGGTCGTGTGCCGACCTTTGACAATTGGAGGAGAACAAACTCGAAAGGTCACATTAACTTGGCTATCGTATTTTGCGTGTACATAATTGTGGCAGTTCAATTGTTGTCTGCTACTTTTGATTGCTAGATATTGATTTTGTTAGACATAATAATCGTATTATCAGTTACTATTTTCTCGTGTTGAGTGATTTTCATCTTCAAGCTTCTCTGAACTTAAATTCTCCTACCCTATGCTTGCTTTCTACCAAAACTGAGTTTACAAACTCCAAAAGCTACAAAATCACCAGCTAAACACTATGCAATGATTTGTTTCGGTCACGAAGAGGGATAAAACATGGTACTATTAAATATGTTGTTTGTTATGAAGTCATAACTGAGTCCTAAAAAAAAAAAAAAAATTAAGAAAATGATTTCTGATCACTAAAGAAAGAAAGCAAGGAAACAACAACAGTCAGCAATCAGAGCAAAAACGTTGGCACCAGTCTTCGGCTAGAAGGCGTGTTGCAAGTAGCAAAGAGAGGGAGAGAGGGTTTTGCGCCTGGTTTGTTTTTAAGAGAAATGGGCTATTCAAGTTTTGACCACTTGGTACACATTTTGTTGTTGCCGCTATTATTAAATTGTAAGAGCACCCGCAATGCATTAGGTCTCTTAATAAAATATTATATGCCACGTAGGAAATAGACTTAGTCTATTAAAAAATGTCTCTCAATGCAATTAAAAGTGGACATGGTCTAGCTTATATGACAATAAAAAAAAGAGACCAAGTCCACATTTGAGTTTATTCTGGACCTAAGTACAAACTCAAACACTCATAATTTATTCCTAATTTAAATTTTATTTTAATAAAGAAAACATATTAGAACATTTTTATTGGTTGACATGTATGCTAGACCTAGTATTTTATTTTTTACATTGAATAGCTTTTGAGTTTTTTTTACTTGAGTTTATCCATGTCATTTAGGACTTAAGTCCATTTATATGTCACATATGTAAAATTAGACCCAATGCATTGTGGGTGCTCTAAGAGCTATCTCCAGACTATAGAATTGGAATTCTTGTTGATCCTGCATTATGTGTATAATCCAGTAAATTATACAACTATATAAAAATGCAAGAGAAATGCAAATTCCATTTACAAAAAACTCTGAAAGGATTTTTATGTAAGAAAAAGTGAAAAAACTGACATATTTTTTATAAAAAAAAAACCCGACATGAAAAGCCATTAAAAAGACATTTTAAAAGTAAATCCAACATGAAAAGCAGCAATTAAAAGTGTCCGACCTGCCGGATTCGAACCAGCGACCTAAGGATTTCAGCATTGACAACTACAGTCCTCCGCTCTACCAACTGAGCTAAGGTCGGTTTCGATTTACAATGTAATAAACGTTATATAAATAAGTTTACTAATGTCGTTTTCACTGCAGTTGGATAATTTAAATACCAGACATTTCCTTATGAATTGGGAAAATACTACCATCTCGGGATGATTTCTTTATTATTTCAACTAATTAAATTACACTTGTGTAGTTAAAATACAACTTTCTTATATCTACATGCTAGTAATAATTGTGAATAATTCAACCATATAGAATAAAGATACGAAATCATATTGTTACGGTGCTGTAGCCATCCCTATGAATTAAGAAAGTATTTCATTTTTTGTTTCCTACACACACAGTAAGCATAAAATTTAAGTTTAAAATAAACTATTCCTAAACATTTATCTACAAAAATTACAGATCGTCCAATTACATACTTATAATCATCATATTCTCTTACTATATCTCTATCACATCACAATTCATTAATAAATTATATTATCACTATACATTAAAAATCATTAATTATCTTTTAAAAACCAAAACTTTTTGCCTAACAAAAACTTTCGAATTTGCACATTAGACAATATTATTTATTCTCCTCATCAAACTCAAAAAATTATTCTCGATATTTCCAACATCTTTTATAAAAATTCAATATTGCTCAAACATTTAATTACGGTTGGCAATTTTTTTCTACCAAAAACAAAAAACTGAACCGAAACGACGAGAAAATAAACCGAATCTTACCGACTTGCTTGCAATTTGATTACTGAAGGGTTATTGATTCGGTATCGGTACCGCCCTATAAAAGGTTCGGTTTTAACCGAACAGAATCGATAATAATAATAAAAAAGGCCTAACTTATAAGCCTAACTTATGAGTTGTCCCACATCGTCTATACAGGAAAAATAAGTCTAACTTATAAGTCTAGTGGGCTACTCCTCCAAACACAAATTAATTTTGGGATGGAACCCCATTTGAGCTTCATATGGGGTTTTTCCCTGTTGGTGCGCTCCATGATAGTGGGCCCGCACCCCCATTTTCCCTCAGTTTCTATCAAAATTGTAAAATGTAGTGTGATGCAATTCAAGAAAGAAAGTTCAATTCTTGGAGTTAAATTGCTTAAATTAAGACAGTTTAAAAAGTCTACATAGTGTCTTAATGTAGTAAAGCCAATGGCAGACAAAAGTCTGATCGAGCTACGTTTACCAAGAATAGTAGTATTCTTACGTATTAGTTGCTTTGCAAGATTTCCTCCTAATTTTTCAGCAATACACCATTTTTATACCCAAAGATTATGTTCATTTATTTCTTTGAGATTGCAACTTTTCCAAATTTTTTCTAGCTAGATAAATCTCTTGCAAAACACCGAGTTTTCACCTTGATTCTGTTTCTACAACAGTCATCTTCACGTCTGCTCCACTTAGGGGGTGAGTGTAGGCGATCAAAACCGATTTTGGTCGATCAAAACTTGACTCACTCACTTTAACTCAAAATATAACTCAACCTCAATATCCTCAATATAATTAAATAATATGATCATCTCTCTTCTACATTACATCAACTTTAATTCACTGTTCATTTACTCATATATTGTTAACTATGTATCACTTCAATCATCTCTCTCATAGTTTTACATTTAATCATTACATTTTAAATATTGTTTAATTACAATTTTTCTCATCACAATCAATAAACTTTATTCATAACAACTCACTTTAAATCAAGATCCAATTTTTGATCGATATTTACTGATTTTGACTCCTCACCAATCACCCCTAAGTAGCCAATTTTGACAAGTGATGATAGCAATCTATATAAATATACAAAAATGCTCGACTAGCCACTAACACTAAGTGTTAACATAACCAAAATTTGTAGGCTCTCAGATAAATTTGAAGAATCTTTTTACTATGAGATCGGCTGGATGAAATGATATGACCTGGAGCATTTTGGGGTTACCGAAACTTTCGATTCGATATCGATAATGTCTTATTAGTTCGGTTACCGAACCAATTCCACCCCTACATTTAACAATGCTTACAAATTAGACTCATTATTGTTTCCTATTCATTTTTTAAAAAAGAATAAAATAAATCAGTTATATACTTATAATTCGTACACAAAACATATTATTGATATATTTTTGAGTTTGTTGATAACAAAAACTACATAGCGGTATGTTTTTTCTTTAGAAAATAATATTCTTTACAAGGTTAATATTTAATTTATGTTAAATAAAGAAATTGCTTTTAATTTACAAAGTTAAGATGTAAATTTAGAATTTGGCAGGGAGAGAGAAAGCGAAAGGAAAGTCTCATTTTGCATTGGTCAATTTTCTCCTATTTTCTCCGCTATGCAATTTGCCAATCTGGTAGGGCACTCTTCTCCTATTTTCTGCGCTATGCAATTTGTCAATCCGGTTGGACACCTTTTCTCTCTCCTTTTTTTTTCCCTCGACAAATTTTAAAAAATAGAAACTCAAACAAAGTACAGGAGGAACACCATTAGAGTGCATGCCCTAAACCAATGAACAAGTAACAAGGGGAAACAATCCTTGAAAAAACCAACCAGCACTGCAAATAAAACCAACCACTAGCAACAAGCAAATCGACAGAAACTAAAACAAAAACCACAACAAGACAAGGCGAAAAAAGAAAACAACCTAAACCAAACAGAGCACATAAAGAAACTACAACCAACACAAAACAACAAGATGAAAATTCAACCACTGAAACCATGGATTCCTAGCTGAGAGCCCACCCGACCAAAAAACAACAAAAAGCCAAATCCTCCAGGCCACCAGGTTCTACACTGAAGGCTAAACAAAGCAACCAATAAACAGCTTCAATCAGCCTACCTACAGAAAACCAGGGACCACCCAGGAACAAACTAAGAATAAAGGGAAGAGGTGAGCTCACTAGCTCCCTCGAGCTCTGACCACTCCAAAGAGACTCCTTTTGAAACCTCAAGTTCTGACTTTCAAGATTTATTGAACCAATTGTTTCGCGTTTTCCACAACCATTATAGAATATAAGTTGAGAAGTTTATTCTATCTATGATATAACTGAACTTCTCAATTTGACATAAATCAAACCACCAAGACTTGAAAATGACAAGAAACGTGTGTATTGGCGTGGAGAGAGCAAAATGTTTGGGCAATATTTCTTCTATCCTTTGCGTTATAGCACCAAATGAGAATTTCATATTATAATTTTTTTTTTTCTAATAGCATCCAAACCAATATATAAAAACTCAGGCCGAAATGTACAAGAAACGTGCAACCAACTAATACAACCCGGAAACATAACCTAAAAAGGCTATGAAAACAAAAGAACAAGGGAAGAAAACTTACTCCCTCTTCAAAGCCTTCTTAGCTAACAATAAAGAAAAATTACAAGAACTTAAGTCCACAAGGAAACAACAAGAACTAAATCAATCCAAAAACACATACACATCATAATAAGAAGTAGCTATTGTAGTAGGGGGAGAATTTCTGGAGTTCAGCAGCTGAGCCATGGCAGGAGAATCCACACAACAGCATAGGAGTTTTTCACCTTCACAGCTTTTGCAAACTCCACCTGATTGCCATGAGGGTTGCTTTTTCAATGTTACCTCCATCCAGCTAATGATCTGCTGCCCTTCCTTTTGCCCACTGCACCCTACTCCTACTGAGCCTTCCTACGACATTTGAGCATTGACAATAAGCACAAATTTTCCTACTCTCGCATCTGTTACAGCTCCCCTGCCTCAGTAGAAGAAACCCTGACCACTGAGACACTTTCTTCTTGAGATAGTATTGAATTGAACTCTAGCCACTCTCTTTTTGCTTTTTCTACAAGAACTCTCCTCAATCCAAGTTTTGTTAAAGATATAAGA